CAATTTTCATACCAAGTATTTGCTTTGTCGGTCCCAAATCTTTCATAGCAAAAGATTTACTCAACTCCAATTTCAACCTGTTAATCATGGTAGAATCTTGACCCACAATTAACATGTCATCAATATAAAGCAAAAGAATAATAAATTTGCTATCTGGGAAATTTTTCACAAACACGCAATGGTTCGAAGTGGTTTTAGAAAAACCATTATTCATCATGAAAAAGTCAAATTTTTTGTACCATTGTCGTGGGGCTTGCTTGAGGCCATACAAACTTTTCTTCAATTTGCAAACAAATTTCTCTTCCCCTTTTTTCCCTTTCTCCACAAAACCTTCTGGTTGCTCCATGTAAATTTCTTCTTCAAGATCACCATGAAGAAATGCGGTCTTCACATTAAGTTGTTCAACTTCAAGGTTCATACTTCTAGCCATGCCAAGTACAACCCGAATAGAAGACATCTTCAAAACCGGAGAGAAAATCTCATCAAAGTCAATACCTTTCTTTTGCCCAAAGCTTTTCACAACAAGACGTGCTTTGTACCTCAGATTCTTGCTATCATTCTTCAATTTGAAAACCCACTTATTTTTTAGAATTTTCCTCCCCTTAGGCAACTTCACTAAATCATAAGTCTAGTTTCCAAGTAAGGAATTCATCTCCTCGTCCATGCCTTTTCCGATCACCTTTCTTTGCATGCTCAATTGCTTCTTGGTAGCTCTCGGGCTCCCCTTGATCAGAAATCAACACAAACTCATTGGGAGGATACTTTCTTGAAGGTTGTCGGTCCCTTGTAGATTTCCTCAACTCAAGTTGTGGTGATAGTTCTTGAGTTGGATGCTCTTCCTCAATTTATGGCTCAACTTCATTAGGATTAGCATCATCCTCTACATCTTCTATGGGTGGCTGCACATCTCCCCCATTTTCATCATCAACTGAAGACGAAAGAGATGGATCCATGTCAATGAGATCATTAGATTTTGGCTCCGGCTGATCACCTTTGCCAAAGTCTTCAATTGTTTGGTCTTCAAGAAACACAACATCACGGCTTCGAATACTTTCTTGTCGACCGGATCCCATAATCTATAACCAAACTCATTACGCCCATAACCAAGAAAAATGCATTGTCTTGACTTGCTATCAAGCTTGAATCTCTCATCCTTTGGAATGTGAACAAAAGCTCGGCAACCAAACACTCTCAAGTGCTCATAAGATACATCTTTGCCAGTCCAAACTCTTTCAGGAACATCACCATTCAAAGGATAGGAAAGAGACAAATTGATCACGTCAACCGCTGTCTTCATTGCCTCACCTCAAAAGGATCTTGGCAATTTAGCTTGTGAAAACAAACACCTTGTTCTTTCCACAATGGTGCAGTTCATCCTCTCGGCAACGCCATTTTGTTGAGGAGTCTTCTTAACTGTCTTTTGGTGCCAAATACCTTGGCTGCGACAATACTCATCAAATGGCCCAATGTATTCACCACCATTGTCGGATCGGATGCACTTCAATTTCTGCCATGTTTCTTTTTCAACCATGGCCTGAAAATGCTTAAATACTTCTAAAACTTGATCTTTAGTTTTTAGTAGAAAAACCCAAACTTTCCTTGAATAATCATCAATGAAAGTAACAAAATAAAGTGCACCACTATGTGTTCTAACTTTCAAAGGACCACAAACATCCGAATGAATCAACTCCAACACATTTTCTTTTCTAGAAGCAACATTTTTATAAAAAGAAACTCTATGTTGTTTACCCACCAAATAATGAACACAAGTTTTAAGATGTGTACCTTTCAAACCGAGTAGAAGCTCTTTTTTGAACAAAACTTGTAGCCCCTTTTCACTCATATGGCCAAGCTGTTTGTGCCACAATTCGGTAGAAGTATCATCTTCAAGTGCATTGACAACACCTTTACAAATTTTTCCTTGCATTGAATAAAGTGTATGAGTCTTCTTGCACTTAACCACCACCAAAGAACCCTTTGTGAGCTTCCATATTCCATTACCAAATTTGTTGTTAAAGCCTTCATCATCTAGCTTCCCAGTAGAGATTAAATTGAGGCGAATGTCGGGAACATGCCTCACATCTTTAAGCAACAACTTGCAGCCCAAATTTGTTTCCAAGCAAACATCACCCATGCCAATAATCTTGGACAAACCTTCATTACCCATTCGAATAGAACCATAATCTCCTTTGGTGTAGGTAGTAAATAAATCAACTCGAGAAGTCACATGAAAAAAAGCACCGAAATCAATTATCCAATTACTCTTTTGGCCCACAAAATTGATACAATCATCTTCACAAACGACCATGAGATGATCGGTAGTAACTGCTGTTGTGTCTTCTTGCTTCTTATCCACACTTTTTTCACGCCTTTTCTCCTTGTTCTTAAGCTTTCGGCATTCTCGCTTCATGTGCCCTTTCTCATGGCAATAATAGCACTCAATGTCTTTCTTTGAAAAAGAACCATCTCTTGATTTGTCACAACTTTGATCATGACCATGAGGAGTCTTAGTCCTCCCCCTTGTTTTGTTTCGGCCTCTCATAACAAATGCTTCTAAATGAGAGGAACTCGCTGATTTTCTTCTAGTTTCTTCATTCAACAAACTACTAGTGACTTGGCCCATTGTGACAACTCCATCAGGTGCCGAATTACTAACTGTCACAACCAAAGTCTCCCAACTTTCGGGCAAAGAACTAAGTAGCATCAAAGGTTGCAACTCATCATCAAAAATAATTTTCATAGAAGCAAGTTGGTTAACAATACTCTTTGTTTCATTCAAATGTTTTCGAATAGGGCTGCCATCTTTATATTTTAAATTAACCAACTTACGAAACAGAAAGGCTTTATTTGTAACTGATTTTCGATCATAAAGGCCTTCTAATTTTTTCCATAAATCATGTGCTAAAGTTTCAATAGCAACATGATGAAACACACTGTCATCAATCCATTGACGGATAACACCAACGGATTTTCGATTAAGCCTATTCCATTCATCATCTTTCATACCTTCGGGTTTGCCACTATCACCCTCAATAGGCTCATACAAATCTTTACAAAATAATAGGTCCTCCATTTTAGTTTTCCAAGTTACCCAATTGCTTTCATTGAAGCTAGACATGCGACCCGCATTCTCCTCCATTGATTTGCACAAATAAATATACCCAAATAAACCGTAAGCTTTGATACCAGTTGTTAGGGAAAATATATGATTCTCCACAAGTAAATCAATCAATGTGAATAAAAACTAATGCGGAAAAATTAAATCAAAAGCAACACAAGAATTTTTACGTGGTTCCCTCAATGTGAGGTACGTCCACAGGATTAAAATCCGATTCCACTATCAACCAAATAAGTTTCCAAACGATTACAAATGAGACACGAATAGTCTCACAAACCACCCTTAGGTGAATTCCAAATAATCACAAATAAACAAGAAGAAAGACCTCACCAAATAGATGAACAAAATCTTCAAAACTAGAGTTGTAGAAGATCCAAAATAACAACCCAAATCAACTTCACCAAAATACCCAATTATGCACACTAATAAGACTTCGAAAAAACCGAAGAACGAAGCAAGGAACCAGCCGAATTAATCCCACTTTTTCACTCACCCAAAAGTTTGATTCCACTGAATTGAAGTGTATGTAGCAGCCGTACACAACTTTTTTCTTGGGAAAAACAATACCAACAACCAATATGTATTGTGAATCTAGGATTTTTTTTATCAAAACCTTAATTGTTTCCAAATTGAATTGGGTCTCCAAAAAATTAGATATAATATGTAAAAATATATTATAGCTAATACCAAACCAAATTAAACTCTTTTAATAAACTAATTGGGTCTCACACTCCAATAAGAAGGTATATCCCAATAGAATCAATCATTTTTTCTCACTTCCCTCTCTTTCTCTCACAATCTACACATCAATCAATCATTTTTTTCTCACACACATCTATTCAACTATATAAAAAAAATTAAATTAAATTAACCCAAACTCCAAAACTCAAACTATTCTCAAAATATACAACCAAACAAATTTTCAAATTTTGTAAACTTTAAAAAAAAAATTACTTTTCAAAATTATTTCACAAATACAAACCAAATATGGCTTAAATATTTATAATATTTTTACATGTGTGAATTGAGAAGAATGTACACAAAGCGAAAATAATGTGTACCGGTGTGGGAAGGGATATTGGATTGCCTTGGTGATGATTTGGGAGGGAACATTGATAGTCCGAGGGGTTTAGTAATCTCCCTCAGTAAGGGAATTAGCTTGACTGGATTTTGATTGGGATTAGGAAAATAGTGAGCTGATTGAGTCTATTTTATATAAAAATTATTTTGTAATTTTTTTTACCAATATTTGTTTTAATAATTGTTTTCATTTTTTTAATATAGAAATAATTTTTTTATTTATTTTATATAAAAATAATTTAACAATCGCATCTCTAACCACCTCCCACACTATCATCACAACACACATACTTTTACTTAATCCCCTCACTAACAATTCTCACATTAATAATATCTTCACTAACAATCACATCTAACGTAATCCGCCAAACAAACGTGACCTAAAACTATTCTCAAAATATACAACTAAACAAATTTTCAAATTTTATAAACTTTTTCTAAAAAATTACTTCTCAAAATTATTTCACAAATACAAACCAAACATGGCTAAAATATTTATAATATTTTTAAGTGTACGAATTGAAAACGATGTACACAGAATGGAAATAATGTGTAGAACTAAGTTCCCAACGATCCATATTAAGAGCCAATCTCTAGAATGTCGGTGTAATTCATCCAAACATCTATATAACAAAAATAGTAGTCTACATGCATGGATTTGATGTCACACCTTCTTCCTCGTCCAAAAACAGGGAATACCCACTTTGACCAAATCACAAGATTTCAAACAATATACCCCAAATTGAATACACTTTTCCTCATCTACATACTTCCAATCCCACAAATTTTCTCCATCACAACAATGGCTTTCCAATCACATATTCAGCTTTCTTGTCTCTCAATTATCACATTTTACATTCTTCTCGCAACTCCTTGTGCAACTGCACTAAACTTCAATATTGCCAAAATTGGTCCCAAAAATCTCAACGTTGACATAACCACCAGTGGAGACGCTTACATCTCCTCCAATGGCGTCCACCTCGCGGTGGACAAGTACGATACCAACTTAAATAACAAAGCCGGCAAATCTACCTACGTCAAACCGCTTCACCTTTATGACAGTTATTTCGGCAAGTTGAACGACTTCACCACCTATTTCTCCTTCGTGATTGATTCGGATGGAAGTTCAACTTTCGGAGATGGGCTTGCATTCTTCCTTGAACCTTCCGATTCCAACAGCACCACTACTGGCGGTGCCATTGGGCTTCCAATTGATCCGTCGACATTGGAAGCCACTAGCCCATTTGTCGCTGTGGAGTTTGACACCTTTCAGAATTCTTAGGATCCACAAAGCATTCCTCCTGTTAGTCATCTTGGAATCAATATCAACTCTATTCAGTCTAATGTGACTAAAGTATGGTACAATGACATAGCTCATGGGATAAAAAATCAACCTGTGATTAGTTTGTCACTAGCACTATCAATAATGCCATAGTCAGACATGAACTTTCTTTCAAGGTTGATCTAAAGGACTACTTGTCAGAATGGGTTACAATCGGCTTCTCGGCTAGAACTGGTGCGTGTATTGAAACAAATATTGTTAAGTCGTGGAAATTTAATTCAGGTTTTGAAATTTGAGAAAAACAAAGTAAATGTTACAGCTCTAAGGGCATAAGATAATCTTGGCCTTGAATAAGGTATTTACTAGTTATCAATGAATAATTGGAATAATTGTTATTATTCCTTGGATGGATATATACATTTTTATTTGGAATAATATGTTATGGATGCATCTTATAATGTGATTTTGTAATATTTTATCAGATTGTGGATGTTCTATTGTGTTGTGTATAAATGTAATAGATATAAGGTTGTAAAATGATCCATCTCATAAGACATCTGCACATGAGTCAGAGCCAACCATGCCTAGCTACAGAGCAGCAGCAGCTTCAGCTGCAACTGCAGCTCAATCACACAGCAACAGCAGATATAGAGCAGTAGCAGAGTCAGAGCCAGCCATGCCTAGCTATAGAGCAGCAGCATCTGTAGCTACAGTTGTAGCTCAATCACACAGCAGCAACAGATACAAAGCAACAGCATCTGCAGTTGCAGCAGCAACCGCAGCTCAATCACACAGCAGCAATAGATACAGAACATCAACAGTTCAGTCAAAGCTGCATCCTATAGCAGTTCCAGCTTTAGCTTCAGAGTTCAATAAAGCTTGCAGTTATTAATCTGTTAGAACTATAGTTAGCTTATTGTAAGCTTGGTTAGGTTAGGCAGTTAAGATTAGGCAGTTAGATTAGTGATCTTCTGTATATCTTATGTCTATATAAGGCATAAAGATCTTCTGTATAATTCATTGAATGAAATAAATCTGAAATTCTTTATGGTATCAGAGCCATAGAGCTCCTACGAGCAAATGTCCTCTAATGACGACTCCAAACCCTAACCCTCTTGTATCTACAAACTCCATATCTTCCAGTTCTTTGTCTTCATCTTCTTATTTACCTTCAAATCTGAGACTGTTGATTTCAAATCTCAATGCTCTTGTCATAACCAAGCTTGATGCAACAAACTACATTGTGTGGAAAAGTCAATTGCACAATATTTTAAAAGCTACAAAGCTTCTTAGATACATTGATGGATCAGAGGTATGTCCTCCCTCAGTTGTTCTCGATTCAAACAGTCAAGAAGTTCTAAATCCTACTTATACACAGTGGATCACTGTTGATGCTCATTTGTTGAGCTGTATAACAGCCACATTATCTTCATCTGTTTACACATCTGTGATCCATTGTCAGTCTAGCTTTGAAGTCTGGACTGTTCTTGCAAAGAGATTCACATCTCTTTCTCGATCTCACATTCATCAGCTAAAGAACAAACTTAGTCAAATTACTAAGAAAGGTTCAACAATGGAAGATTATTTGAGTCAATTCAAAGTCATTTCAAATCAGCTTTCTTTAGCTTCATCACCTATAGATGAAGATTTGCTCTTGTTAATTCTCAGTGGATTACCAGATGAATACAATGCTTTAAAACCACAATTAGGGCCAGATCTGCCCCTATTTCCCTAGAAGAATTGTCTGGTCTGCTATGTTCTGAATCTATCCATGTTGAGTCTTCTCTCAAACACTCTCAAACTACAGAAACTCCCTTTGCATATTTTGCTACTAGTGGCTATAGGGAAGGTTACAGAGGTTCTCGAGGTAGAGGTCACTCCAGAGGTAGATGAGGCTATAGAGGTAGCCATTCTCATTCTGGTTCTCAGAATATTTCATTTCCACTCAAGGGAGGTCATTAATATCCTAGGGATCAAAGAGGTTGTGGTAGGTCAGGTCACAATTCTAACTATGTGATCTGTCAGATCTGTGGAAAGGTTAATCATTCTGCTCTGGATTGTTGGTTCATAATGGACTCTTCTTATCTGACAGGTCATCTCAATCCTTCACAGCCAGCCCAAGCATATGTGGTTGCAACACCAGCATCCGCTTCACCATCATCCGCTTCCTCATCTGCTACAAATTGGTTCTTGGACTCTGCAGCTACCAATCATATGACCAATGACCTCAGTAATTTGTCTACATATCAGTCCTATCCAGGTTGTGATCAGGTGGCTATTGGTGATGGTTCCACCTTGCCTATCTCACATACTGGTAATGGTTTACTTCCCACTCCTAAGTTCCCATTTCTTCTCACCAACATGCTTCATGTTCCTTCCATTTCTTCCAACTTGCTATCTGTTCATCAATTAGCCTTAGACAATCATTGCACTATTACTTTTGATGCATATTCTGTTGTTGTTCAGGACAAGGCTACTCAGAAGGAGCTCTATAGAGGTTCATATTCTCATGGTCTTTATCCTCTTGCATCTTCCTCCTTTAAAGCTTCTTCTCCAGTTTGTTTGTCTTGTTCCACAAAGGTTGATTCCACACAAACTTTTACTCCTGGTTCAACTTCAACTCAAGCTGATTGGCATTCTAGACTTGGGCATCCTTCTTCCAGAAAGCTTCATCATGTACTTACTCATAGTCATTTGTCTACTAATAAAATTTCCAATAGTCTATGTGAACATTGTTGTGTTTCCAAAAGACATAGACTACCTTTTAGCTTATCCAATTCCACTGTTAATAAACCTCTAGCTCTTGTACACACTGATGTATGGGGCCCTATTTCAGCTTCTTGCTCAAGCTATAAATACTATGTGTTGTTCATTGATGACTTTAGCAAATTCACTTGGATTTTTCCTCTTCATTATAAGAGTGAGGTGTTCACTAAGTTTTTGGAATTTAAGTCTTTTGTTGAAACACAATTTACTACCAAATTACAAGTGTTGAGAAGTGACAATGGGGGTGAATATCTCAGCACTCAATTTCAAGAATTTCTCAAACAAAAAGGCATTGAGCATCAATTAACTTGTGCTCACACACCTGCCCAGAATGGTGTGGTAGAGAGAAAACATAGGCATCTAATTGAGACAACCATCACTCTTATGCATCAATCTTCATTGCCTTTGATTTATAGGTTTGATGCACTTGCTACTTCTGTGTTTTTGATCAATAGAATGCCTACCCTTAAACTTTCCAACAAAACTCCTTTTGAGGTCTTGTTTCTTCAGAAACCTGATTATAAGTTCTTAAGAACATTTGGTTGCAAATGCTATCCTTGGCTCAAGCCTTACAACTCTCATAAACTTTAACCTACATCTATCCCATGTGTGTTTATAGGCTATCAACCTTCTGTTAAAGGATATAGATGTCTGGATCCTAGTACTAACAAGGTGTATGTTTCAAGACATGTTGTGTTTGATGAACTTACCTTTCCTTTTCAGTCATTTCCCTCTAATTCAGTCTCACCAGTTTCATCTTCCTCTTCTGTGTCTCATTTTACTACTCTACATAATTTTGTTCTGGTCTTCTTCTCCTGTTTCTCCTACTTGTTCTGTTCCAGCAGCACCAGTGATGTTGTCTCCTTCTGCAGCATCACCACCAGTAACTCAAGCAATGGTGCTGTCTCCTCTTGCTTCACCAGCAGCAGTAGCTCATATACCTACTGCTGCTCCAGCATCTATCATCTCTCATTCACATCAGACTTCATTTCATCTCCCTTTATAGCACACAGCAGGTCCAATGCCCATTTCTTCTTTGTTTATAAATCTTCATCCTTTTTCCTCTTCCAATTCTCACTCCATGCTCACCAGCTCCAAAGCCACACTTTCTTCTGCTACTTGTTTGTTGGCTTCTACTTCTCCTACTGAACCTCAGTCTTTTCAAGAAGCATCTCTTTCTCCTGTTTGGTAAGCTGCCATGCTTGAGGAATATCAAGCCTTGCAAAAACAAGGAACTTGGTCTTTAGTTTCTCTTCCACCTACCAAACAAGCCATTGGTTGCAAATGGGTCTTTAGATTGAAAAGAAACTCAGATGGATCCATAGCTAGATATAAAGCAGGGCTAGTTGCTAAAGGTTTCCTTCAAACTGAAGGGGTGGACTATTATGAAACATTTAGCCCTGTTGTTAAACAGCCTACCATTAGAGTTCTTCTATGCCTTGCTCTCACTTATCATTGGCCCATTAAGCAACTTGACATTTCAAATGCTTTTCTTCGTGGTCTACTTGAAGAAAAAGTTTATATGCATCAACCACAAGGTTTCATTGATGCTTCTAATCCTTCTCTTGTTTGTAAACTTCATAAAGCTCTTTATGGTTTGAAACAAGCTCCAAGAGCTTGGTTCTCCACTTTCTCATCTTTCTTTCTTTCTCATGATTTTATCCCTAGTCTTTGTGATTCTTCTTTGTTTGTTAAGAAAACTTTTACTTTTATTACCATACTTCTTGTCTATGTTGATGATATCCTTCTCACTGAAAGTGATCCTCTCTATACCTTCACCCTTGTTCAACACATGCCTACTACTTTTTCTATGAAAGAATTGGGAGTTCTCAATTATTTTCTGGGCATCTCTGTCTCTTCTTCATCTTCAGGCTATCTCAGCACAAGTATGCTTCTGAAATATTAGCCAAGGCTAGTATGAGTGATTGTAAATCCTATACCTCTCCCATGGCTACCAAGGTTGTTTCATCTGATAGTGCTAATTCTCCTTTCTCTCAACCAAGTCTTTATAAAAGCTTGGTGGGAGCCCTTCAATATCTGACCCTTACTCGACCGGATCTTAGTTTTTCTGTTAATCATCTCTGCCAATTTCTGCAAAATCCTCTGCAAAGTCATTTTACAGTTCTCAAGAGACTTCTCAGTTATGTCAAAGGCACCTTGAGTCATGGTCTTCCCTTTCCTAGTGGCCCTCTTGTTCTTAATGCATTCTCCGATTCAGATTGGGCAGGAAATGT